TATGGTAAGGAAGATTGGAGCCTAAGAGTTAACTTAACATCTAGAGGTACCACAAACTTTATCTCGTCGCCAATTGCGAGCTTTAACGGGTTTCCTCAAGTGACTCGATGGTTTAATTGTGACAAATCATGATACGAACTTTGATGAACCCATAATAGTATAGTGCAATAATACTATGATAGTATTCTCATAAGTTCTACCCTTGCAACCGAGTACAATGTACATACTAAGTGATATCAAGCTGCAATCTAAAATTTATTAATTGAATAAAAAATAACTTCAAATTTTACCTAATAATTGCGACATCGTTGGAAGTGAGAAATAAAATACATTAAATTTTAATCCAATTCTGCGAGAGAAGATTTGCCCAGACAGCTGACAAGAATGTATTACCATACTTCCTGTAAATGTGGTAGTTATTAGGTCATATCAAACTTGAAAATTATGTCAAAGTTTTTCTCAGTCTCTGGTGTCAATCACCAGTAGAGTGCCCAGCCGCACCAAAACAACCTGCGATTTTTACGTGGGAAACATCGTATAATACACATGCTATACACTCTAGTTTTATAGCAGCTACTGATATCATGCGGCAGTATTAATAAGCATACAAATTCAGCGCAAAAAATTGTAAAGACGACACAAATTCATGCGGGATGTTAATAAATGTGTCCATGTTGAACTCAAACTCCGACAGAATAATATTTCAAATCGGATATATTATAGTGGGTCGCAGCACCCACTCCCAGAGAATAGGACCATAGATATTACTGTCGATGGAAACTCTGCAAAGCAGGTCACTCAATTCACTTATTTGGGTGCCAAAATTACATCGGATGGCAAGATCGATAAAGAAATAAGTGTCAGGATTGGAAAAGCAACCGGAGCTTTTAACCAACTCAATAACATTTGGAAGAATAAGAACATAAGCATTAACAACAAAGTGCGAATCTACATCGCAGCTGTTCTTACCATTCTGACCTATGGAAGTGAGATATGGAACACGACTCAAGTGCAGGACAAGAAGATTAGAGTCTTTCCATCAGTACTGCTTACGCAGAATCCTGAGAGTGAGGTGGTTCCATCGAGTAAGAAATGAAGATGTTTTAAGAAGGGCTTCAATAACTGCTCTTACTGACATAATAGCAACAAAACGGCTACGTTGGTTTGGACATGTCAGTAGAATGCCTGAAGATCGGTTACCTAACTATCTACTTGAATGGAAACCCAAGCATGGGAAACGATCAAGAGGCAGGCCTAGGAAGAGCTTAAATGATGTATTTATTGAAGATGCTGAGCAGAGATTGGATCGTAATGGACTCACGATTGATTGTATGAGAAGATTGGCTGCAGATCGAAAAGGATGGAGAAATATTACCCGCCGAAGTTGTATAATACAAAGTAATGACGCAGTCGACGCAGACTAATCCTTTTGGATGGAGATCTCGCCATGTAACATGTATGTATGTATATTATAATTAATCAAATGGTATCTGCTCATGTTCCGTCTATATAAACTACAAAACTTAATAAATTAGTGAAGTTCTGAAACAAAGATCACGACTAGGTTTTATCAAAATTGAAAAGAAAAACCGATCGAAGTGCACTAGAGATATAGTTTAAGTTTAAAGGGTCATCATTACTAAAATCTCTTCCTAGCTCCTAGCAATCAAGTTGTTAATCCTAGTTCTACACCTAAACAAGTACAAAATTACAGCTTACATTTTGAAATTTTTCGATACCAGCTCAACATAAGGCTTCGATACCAATAATGCATAATGGGTACATACCGATGATCGGTGTTCGTAAATATTTGATTATTTATAGTATTGAAGTTTAAAATCTTCCTATTATGTAAGAATAACAAAAGGAATCACGTACTAGTGTGCTGTTACGAAAAACAACTATTTAATAAAAATAAATTAACAGTATTCGAGTACAAAATTAAAAATACAAACTCCAACATAACCGATAGACAAACTCAATAAATGAAGATTTCGTCGTAAAACGAGCTATATATACAGCTATAACGTAGCGCTCGACTCCAGTCTGAACCAAAATTAAGTCGCGTTCGTAGGAAATTGACCACCAGCTGCTGGTGGTTCGAATGTTGGTTTGCACACTACTGTGGTTGCGAGAAGCATTATTTGATGCGCGCGCGACCCAGTAGTGCATCGCGCTACAAGTTTTTTGTTTGTCCAGAAATTCCTTCTAAACGTGCTGACTTAAATATTAACCTAGCTAGCCATGAGTCTACGCGTACTGCGTGACGCGCGCTATTGCAAGCGAGAGGGCTCTGGATAGAGCAAACTTAAATAGAAAGCTTATATATTTTAACAGTTTGATTTGATGGAGGCTGCTCCCGTCCAATTTTAGTGTCAGTTATGTGGATGGATTTGATAAGTTCTGTGATAGGGATGGTCTTCTTGACCGCTTTCTCTCTCTCTCTCTCGCGACCTCAACACTCAACAAACACCAAAAACCACATTTCCTTCACCTCAACTGGCTAGGGTACTAGCAAAGTTAGGTCAATTATTCGTACACTGTTCTTCTCAGGATTAACGGTGGTATCCGACAAAAGGAAAAGGAGGTCCACAAGGGTAGACAGTAAATCCTACGGCATACGGGTTGCTCTATCCAGAGCCCTCTCCACTCTCTCTTGCAGTAGCGCGCGACCGCCGAAGGCGGCACAGGATTTTATTAAATTATACTCGTGAAACAAGCGCGTCACGCAGTACGCGTAAACTTATGTCATTGCATGGCTAGGTGAAGCATACGCGGATGTGACTGCTGGAAGAGAAACTGGACCTGTTGCTGCTGCTGCTAGTACGTCTGGGGCACGTGGATGGCTATCAACCACATGACTCCCCTCATTAAGGAGGTATATCCTGTCTGTTCTAAGAACAAAGTCATCGGTTGAATGTTTCCACTGTGACTGCATGCATAATGCACCATACATGCTACCACAAATCCAATCCAAATAGCCAATCTAATGAGTTTTATTGTAGCGCGATGCACTACTGGGCCGCGCCGCGCATCTTCTCGCAACCAGATCGGCAAAATGCAAAGGATTGACATCGTGAATCAAAATTTTACTGCACTCGTTGTGTCCATTTAGACAAGGTTAAATACAACCCATTTAAACTACTCACTGACAATGACGACGACGACAACAACCTAGACGAATACACAACCAAAATCTCGAATTACTTTATAAATAATTGTGAATTGTAATACTCATACACTGCATCAATATTCTCTGCAACCAAATAAAGAAGTAAAACAAAATTTTAGTAAAACAAAATTTTATTTTATACCCACAATCAATTCATATTTAGTTCAAATATTTATAGTCAAAATAATCATTTCACAAAATTGGTTTTATTATAATAATAAAATAATTTGTGATATGTGTACAATGTACAAGTGATAAGATGAGTAAGTGGGGCGTTGTTTAAGAGTCGCATGACGTTATGTTGATAGGTGAAAATTCTGTTTTTCCTCCACTAGCGAGCTCATCGTGTAACTAGAAGCAGTATATGCAAAGTAACTTTGGTGATAGGTGATAGGCAATATGAAATTACACATCTTACTTTAACTTTATCCCGTCACCCATGGACTTATTAATTAACGGCTGGTGGTGGTGTCATCGTTTGTCGGCCCATCGAGGAAAATCTTTTTACTTTGTATTTTAACCATTTTAAAGTATGATTAGTCGGATATGGTACTGAGTTCAAACAGTCCCCGAAACGAAAAAGCAAACATTTGATTTTTGTTTCGGCGACTGAATCGTTGATGGGCCGGCAAATATTTGTTGTCGAGTAGTGTTGAATACTCATATTAACATGATTATTGATTTAATTTAGGAATTGTATATAACTATCTTTGACCAAGTTTAATTGTTGATGAGAATGCACCCCAGCACTGGGCGCGCGCGGCGGCTTTGATGTTAGCGGCTACAAGCTTGAAGCTAGGCAGCTGCAGAAAAAACGCCGCGCGCGCTCACAGTTCAGCGTACGGCTTTTCGTTTTTGATTTTACAAATGACAAAGCAACTTTTAATGATTATTAATGGAATTATCGGATATTTATAATTCAATATGTATTGATTCTTCTGTGGAAAATAAAAATTGTATTTTAAAAATTGTATTTTACTCAACAAATGAAACAAGCAGTTAATCACACAAAAATATTTTCGATGGTCTACATCTTCATCAGTCCTGAAATTTATTAATTAAAATTAAATATAACGACAAGGAACATATGTGGTAAAACTCTGACAGAAAAATATATTAAATACTACGATACGAAGAATTATGACATACACTGATTACAAAACTAAACAAAACATGAAAGTACTAAACAACTACGAATTGGAAAACTAACGTCACTTAAACTTAATCATAATACAAACTGTAGCACAGGTGCAACTGTTCAACACTAAATTTAGTCCAAGTAAATCCGGCTAAACTGGTAATAATCTATTCCCCATTATACACAAATTATACACACAGTACGATACACACTTATCCGTGTAGCATTTAAACTTCATTGTTTCTAATAACTCTTCCATCGTTTGAATGTGGGACAATTTTGAAAAACTTAACTGAGGTACTAGCAAAACTGCGCGTTTTGCTCTAGAAACACACTTTTTTAGAAATTTTACTGGCGCATCCTCTAAAATCACCTAATTTGTCCAATTTTAGGGAGGGGCGCCATACGGGGAGGGGCGCCAACAGGGGGGCGCTTTTTCGGCGGGGGCGCCAACAGGTAACGTTACGCCACTGGAGACAAAATTGTTTTAAATGAAAATTTCTTGCTTCTTTGTCACCCATTCAGCCTTATAAGACTGCACTTATGATGGTTACTGATTCACACATATTAATTATTGAAGGGATTTCTATGAGGAACCTGCCAACACAGATAAGCCTGAAAAACACAGCATCAATGCAGATTAAGCATCCAGGAATTTTAAACATTTTAACCAATTTTTCCCTGTTTAGGTCAATGGACCATGGTCATCTCTCCCATCACTGAAAAGGAGTACATTGATAAGCTCATCGCCTTTCAAGAGGTTTTGAAACTCTTTTTATCAAAGATCATTATCATTGTTATTTAATTACCTTACTCGGGATTATTATAACCGGGATAAAGTGGTGGGTTTTGAAAGATTCCGCCATATTTTTCCCGGTCAAAAATTTTACCAGTCATAAAAAAACCCGCCGACTCAGATTATGGGGTTCCAAGGGGGTGGTGATCATCATATTTTACCTGAAGTCTCATATGTGCTAGAGAAGACTTTTGAAGCAGTGGATGGAGGGCTGTAACTTTATTGGCGGTTACAACCATAATTCCGTTATAAAAATCACAATTTGGTTATAGAAATCAGATTTCAGGGTGGACCGTGATTCTCACTTTTCTTGCCCATGAAGTGAGTAAACTGTGCCACTATTTCATGGTCCACGGTGGATTGATTACTGGAGCAGTTGAAGATGCAAAGCCAATACGTTCCCCAATATCAAGCGGTGGGCAGGAAATTAAGCTCCGGCTGACCTTCAGAGCAGTAGCCCCATTAGCGGACAAAATGAAAGTCTTGTTAAAACAACAATACAACTTCGAATTTGACGGTCAGCAGCAGGGGGTTATCAATAATGATAATGGAGGGGACATTAGCGATAATGAGAATGAGAATACGCTTTAATGAAGATTTGACTTATTATTGCTATAGATTTATTTTCCTTTAAATACTAGACGTGTCTTTTTTTCTAAGTAATATCAGTAACTGTAAATTGAAATAACTTCTTTAACAAGTAACAAAAACAGAAATTTCGGTTGAAAATTTGTTGACCTCTGAAAAAAAACTTGAAAGGTTGGCCACCGGTAAATACATGACCGGGATAATTTGGCGGGTTTTGGAAAATTCCGCCATATTTTTCCCGGTTATTAATTTTCCCAGTCATAAATTAACCCGCTATAATATTCCCGAGTAAGGTAAAGTAAATAAAGTAAAAATTATGACATAAAATCATCACTAATGTCTACAAAGTATCATCACACTACATGGAATAATAACTATTCATCAAATTTAAAGGTAATAATTTATCAAATATTAATCATGAATAAAAACAACATTAAAAAATTCAATTTGTCAGAGTACGCCTTGGTCTACTAGTTCTTTTTGACTTACTGCTTCTTCTAGTAACTTATTAATGCTTTTCAAACAAAGTAACAACGAATTCTTCATGAAGTGCATCCTGGGTTTGGACAGGATATATAATAAAACAAAATCTCTCAGAATGCACGAGATTTCAACAGTTGGGCTAAAGTAAAAAGTTTACAAAATAGTGCAGTAAGATGTGCAACAGCACAGAAAAAGAGGTGAGACATCTCTACCTGAAGAACCATACAATTGAATACAGTACAAGTTATTAATATACTCAAGAGTGTCTACCTCATTATGCAAATGTTAACAAAAGGGTTTACAATTTTCTATTTTTCAGAAGCGCCCGCCAGTTCAGTAGACTACTTGCAATTGGTCTTATAGCTTATTTTTGCTATTGGGTTAGTTACTTTTCTTAATCTTGTCATCCCTCACTTTATTGTACTCTATTCATCTGTTGAATTATTGCATACTTTATAACTTTGAAGAAATTGATGGAAAATCGAAATCTGCTATTGATAGCATTGCTGATATTGTGTTCAGTTAAACAAAAAATATGTTAGAAAAGATACAGTGTTAGGGGTATTAAATGCAATTTAAAAGTATTCAAATTGTCAATTTATGATGCTCAGTTGGAGTTGGACGACTTGCTTATTAATTCTGACTGTCTGCTGCCGGGTAGTGAGACTCTACAAGATATCTTTAGACCACAGGTAAGTTGAATATCAGTAATGCTCAACAAATAATGTCTTCAGATATCAAGATGTTTAGTTTGAACTACCATTCCCTCTACAAGGTTGAGAATTTGTTTGCTCATTGAGACGAAGGTTATTCTACACAAGCTGTTTAATTAAATCTGTAGCACAAGTGCTTAGTGCAAATGTGAACTCATTTGATACCTTACATGTTTCCTTATTATACTGCCAGGTAGAATAAAAACGCCCAACATTAAAACCGTGAGAATTTTCGGAAAGTTTGAATAGTATTCAGTTGAAATTAAATTTCGTTTGAATTTGAGTCCAATCAAATTTATTTAAAATTAGTGTACTTATTCGCTTTTTATTTCAGATATCAGACTGCAGTTACTGTCAAATAGATTCAATTCACATACGCAACAATTTGACAGATGAAGAGTTTTATGATAAGTATGCTTATACAGGTTTGATATTTTCAATCTCAAGCAAAAAATAAAGTATGTTATTAGGACTAATAATAAAATTACTCTAAAATAATTAAAACATAAATTTCAAAACAAGTACATTAATTTCAATGATGCCATTTCAATGATTAACAAAATAATGGTTTCTTTTCATTTTGTAACATTGCATTTTCAGGTATACCACTTTTAGTATCAGATGGTATGAAGGGTTGGAATACGGATATTTTCAGCTTTCACTATTTTAAACAACTCTATCAAGATAAAACAGACGGTTTACATTCAATATTTTCAGATTAAATATTCGTTTTTAGTTATCCTTTCTGTAAAATCCGGATCGGAACATTATTTATGAGTCGCATAGTTGAAATATTTCTTGGATAAAATTTGTATTGATCCTGTTTGATGCGACAAACAGGAGAAAAAACATTATCCTTTCTACAAACATGGTCATTAGACTGAAACTTAGTTAGGAATAACCAAAATGACTCCAATTCTAAGATATAGCTCAGTTACTCAGAAGATAAGATGCCATGCAATTTCAGAGGATAACAAAGGATGCCAATTCTTCTCTTATAAAACCAACTTCAACTCACTGCAGGATGTCTTCAACATGGACGCAGATAGGGCTGCTTTCAAACCGGGCTCAGAACCCTGGTACATTGGCTGGTGAGTAACCAGTTGGTTTGGCTTTTAGTAGTCAGTTAGTAACCAGTTAGTAACCAGTCAGTAACCAGTTAGTAACCAGTTAGTGACCAGTTAGTGACCAGTTAGTAACCAGTTAGTAACCAGTTAGTAACCAGTTAGTAACCAGTTAGTAACCAGTTAGTGACCAGTTAGTAACCCGTTAGCAACCAGTTAGTAACCAGTTAGTGACCAGTTAGTAACCAGTTAGTAACCAGTTAGTAACCAGTTAGTAACCAGTTAGTAACCAGTTAGTGACCAGTTAGTAACCAGTTAGTAACCAGTTAGTGACCAGTTAGTAACCAGTTAGTAACCAGTTAGTGACCAGTTAGTAACCAGTTAGTAACCAGTTTGTTCCTACTTATCAATCCCTTCTAGCTCCTTCTGTCATCTGAATGGGATGGCAAGGTCGTCAATAAAATTGTGTTGTATAATAAAATAATAATAAAATTTGGTAGCTTAAACACAAACTCTAAGCCCAGTGGATAAACCACAAAACCTATGCTCTATTGTGTGAAACAAAGATACTAGATCAAGATAACTATCAAGGAGTGTATGCATAGGACATAAAAAGTTTTGGAACGAAGATGACATGCTTATGAAGCGAGCTATCAGTCTAATTGTATGTCGATTGTCGCCCTTGTCGAACATTTAGGTCTTTTCTCAACCCCGATATTATTACCCATATATATATGATTCTGAACCTGGGCCCTGCCACACGAGTACGTCACAGTTGCTATCCCAAAATAAAGTTCAGGCTGATAGGGCCGAGTGTTGACTGTTTGCTGCCAAGTATTTAATTTACAATTATTTAATTAACAAGAAGTATTTTATTAACAAGAATTATTGTTAATAAGGTGATACTTAGCTTGTTAAGCATCCACATCCCACGGTTTTTCTACGATCACTTCCTTCAAAACTGCTTAAATTCAGCAAAATAGGCTTTCAAGAATGTGACAATTTGTACATCACTTAGTTAAGTGGCATTTTTTAAGTGCGATAGAAGTCTTTTCAAAGTGGTAGTACTGTTTGATTCAGTTTGAAAAAGGTTGACAGTTTTTTAATGTTGATGAAAGTTTTTTAATGTTTCAGAACAAATAATTGGTGAAATGGAATTTCAAACATCTAAGTGTTATCTTTAGCAAGTATCATAATGTTATAATTAATAGCTAATGTTATAATTAGAATGAGGTTTAGCCGATAAGTTAGTAAATTAGCAAAACACATCTATAACAGCTATAGAAATGTTTTTTTAAGATGCTCGGACAATAAAATATTTAAAATCGTGGTTATCTAGATACATGATTAAACTTGAAAATAATTAAAATATTCCAGTTTTACGGTGTTTTAGTCTAATAAATTACGGTAGTCAAATAAGTTAAATATGCATCGATGAAGTTTTTCTAGTTGAGGTCTTCCAGAAGATTATCGAATAGTTCCAAACTGTCCTCGCTCAACTCATCCAAACTCCTGTATGTTGAAAATATATTAATTAAATTTGTACACTGTAATATTTAATTATTGAGTAAAGATGTAAGTATTGAGTAAAGATGTTTGATTGAGATAGTTTGGTGGAAATATATAATTGTTTCAAGAGTGAACCGGCATGAAAATCAACGTAAAACTTAAAAGTAGCACAAAAATGACAAAATGACTAAGTCATACTAATGAGAATTACAAAATATTACTAATAAGAATTACAAACCTCTTTTCCAGTATTATATCCACTTCCATATCTTCCTGAAGTCCAAAAGATTTGAATTTACGGCCTGGTCCTCCATTAGCTGTAATAGCATCAGTTTCGTGAACACAAACTGCTAACATCAACACAAGAAGTCTGAAATATCGGGCTGTTGGTTGAATAATTATTTTAGACGATATACTTGGTGTTCCACTTAAAATGTGACTTTTGTCCACTATAATTTTTGACAAAATCAAACTTCACTGTTATTTTTATGCACAAATTCCGCACATGTTGACACTTTGTGATATATAAAGAGTGTTAAGCAACTGCTCCTTCATTAAACAAATTCTTTTTTTTTAAAGTCACATTTTATGTGGTACACCCTGTATTAGGTTTATAATTGCAAATCTACCACATATGAAGTTGTAGTTAGTTTGGATCATCATCAGGTGAGAAAGTGATACTATCGTTTTTATAAGCTAAGAATCAAAAGTTTCTTATTACCCGACGGTGAAAGTAAGCTTCATGATCTGTACTTGCAGGGAGGTTCTATAGCTAACATGTTATGGTTAATGTTACTACAATGTATCTGGGTAAATATATTTAGAAACTTAAGGTATATTAATTAATAATAGCTGTGCTGAATCAGATGTAACAAATGGACAGGAGTTTATGATTATAAAAAGAGAAATCTCCTCTTAATCAAACAGTAACGCAAATCATGTCGTAAAATTAAAGTTAGGACAGGGTCAAGCAGTGATGAACCAAACCACTTCCCAAACTAAAAACTAAAGTTTTGCCACAAATATTTACTACCCGGAGCAGTGATGAACCAAACCACTTCCCAACTAAAAACTAAAGTTTTGCCACAAATATTTACTACCCGGAGCAGTGATGAACCAAACCACTTCCCCGACTAAAAACTAAAGTTTTGCCACAAATATTTACTACCCGGAGCAGTGATGAACCAAACCACTTCCCAACTAAAAACTAAAGTTTTGCTACAAATATTTACTACCCGGAGCAGTGATGAACCAAACCACTTCCCCAACTAAAAACTAAAGTTTTGCCACAAATATTTACTACCCGGAGCAGTGATAAACCAAACCACTTCCCAACTAAAAACTAAAGTTTTGCCACAAATATTTACTACCCGGAGCAGTGATGAACCAAACCACTTCCCAACTAAAAACTAAAGTTTCGCCACAAATATTTACTACCCGGAGCAGTGATGAACCAAACCACTTCCCCAACTAAAAACTAAAGTTTTGCCACAAATATTTACTACCCGGAGCAGTGATGAACCAAACCACTTCCCCAACTAAAAACTAAAGTTTTGCTACAAATATTTACTACCCGGAGCAGTGATGAACCAAACCACTTCCCCAACTAAAAACTAAAGTTTTGCTACAAATATTTACTACCCGGAGGCCCCTTTAAAGCTCTCACCAGGCTCCACCACGTGGCCTCCCGCCAGCTAGTACCCCAATTAGCCAGACCCAGGACTGTGAGAGAGGGGGCGGGTACCATGTGCCCCACATCCTTAGTAACCACCCTGAACCACTCCTTAGTAACCACCCTGAACTAGACCACTCCTTTACCGGGTCTACGTGTCTACACTGATTATCTTATGATGGAGTAATTGTGCGTGTTTTGAAGAGGGTATAAGATACTGTTTAGTGTGGGACCCCCCCCCCTGATCAGGGTCGTGGTTAATTAGTGGTTAGCGGTTAGACACGAAGTTAGTTCAGGTTTATTAGCGGCAGTTTAAAGTGCTGAACTAATAACCGTTACATAGTTACTTACCTGATCACGTGGTATGATTACAGGGGTTATGGCCTTGGAATTTGGATGGAACGATAAGAAGGCGTGTTTTGAGCGCTAAGAAATACGTCTCGGGTAATAAAGCAGCATACAAGGGGGACAATATAACAAGACTAATTGATCGTAATGTTCGGTTATTTGGGTGTATCTTGTAGAGACTATAGAGCTAGATTCGACTTGTTATCTTAACTACTTTTCTTTAAAATAAATCAGTAAGCGTGTATTAACACGAACACTATCCATCCAATTAGACGGCTTCGAATAAAAATCTGCGAGAAAAAGAACCGACTAGAGGATTAAACAGAAAACATCTTGCATCTTCAATTAATGTGCGCAAATTTAAAGCTGTAGTGCTGTTGCAGATTATGCCTGTATTCGATCGGTTTAAACGGTTTGGGCAGTTTCCGATTAGTCAACAAATGAGGTCTTTAGTCAAATTTAAACTCAATCACCACCCCTGAATCACCACATCTTCACTGGGGTATTGTACTGGGGTATTGTACTGGGGTATTGTACTGGGGTATTGTACTGGGGTATTGTACAACACTGATTATCTGCGGAACTAAGAGGGAGTGTTCACTGGTCACGTGATCTCTACACTCTCTCGTCCAAGTATACAGATTTAAAAGGGCTATATTTCGAAATAATGATGCAGACTGTGTTTGCAGTCGAGCATTTTCGGGCATATGCATTCAATCGTTTAACGGCGTCTGCAATTTCGTAAACCAAATTAATGCACTAAAGTAATCAAGTAAAATAACCGAATGAAAATATGTTCGTGTCACTAAACAGGACTGTCACTATGCAGCTGACGCACTCTTTAGTGACAGACGTCACAAAATATTCCACTTTGTCACTATAAACATGGGCGTGGCCAGGTAGGTACCAAGCTGGAGGTAATTTGACAATATTTTGATATTGTGAACCTCCCTAATATATAATGGCGTCACTTAAAGGTGTGGGAAAGTGGTGGGACGGGGGAGGGAGGGAGGGGTGGGGGGCTAACTTAATTAGGGATTTCCGAGAAAACCATGCTAGTTCCGTTTTTTAACATTTGGTTTCCGAGATAAAAAAGCCACGTTGAAGTTATACCTCAGTGACTATTGATATGCTAATAAAAGCAAATGCAAAGAGCAAAATGCTCTAACTTACCCAGTCTTGAGAGTTGAGGGGGGGGGGGGGTTCTTCCCCTGTACTCATTACTCCCCCTCTGTTCATTACTCACTGCTATATACTTGGCATAATATTGGTTGAGCTTGGTGGTTTTTTAAAGGAAAGGTTTTCAAATTTCATTGTGACATGCTATTTGCTAATGAACCTTGAATGACCATTAATCACAACGTTTATCAATCATGTGCAATAAGGGGGTTCAGGGGGATGAACTGGTTGCATAGAAATATTGAAAAATATCTCAAAATTTCATTCTACATGGGGAGTGGGGACCGATCCATTGTGAATGATATACTCATTATTCCTCAAGCATATCCAAGCTGTGTGCACACTTTTAATTTTATTTGTGAAAATAATACAAAAAATGTACGGAAATTTGCTTTGAAAAACAACTTCTGTCAAAGTCAAATAGCTGTTACGAAAAATTAAATTTTACACAACAATATAGTGTTACTACTGATGCAAAAAGGAGATCAGGCCTGTTAGACGTCTTTAATCCATTATCAAAAACTAGATAAAGCCTTTTATTGTGAACCAAGTTGATGTTTTTGATTTATAGTAAGAAAAGGCATTTCAAAAGTGAACTTTGTAAGAGCAAAAGGTTACTTAGAGCGTGGTCATGCTTTGTTCTAACTAAAAATACATATGGCTTCATTAAAACAAAATAATTGTCTGAGTTTACTCCGTCATTCCATTTCGTGTAAGAGAAGAAGCTTGTGAAGCTTCAATGGTTACCAGACAAAAGTACTTTGAACTGCACAAATATAAACTTGCTTAACAACTGTTCTCCAATCATCTTAGCTTCACTCATACTACACATCCAATTCAATTCCCCAAACAATATATGCACTTGTCAGTACGCATACTTGGGCTTGTGGGATGTGGGTCGATATAACGATTGGTTGATTATATTGATAGGGTTCCCATAGTCATAATAGGGTTAAAGATTTGTTGTAATGACAATTGACATGTGCCGCGAATCGTGATTGCTTGAACTGACAATTTAACTTATCGACCAAGAAAGTTGGGTATAACAATAAGCTATAGATAGGGAAATATACCACACCCTGCAACAAAAATTATTTCTAGCCATGCTTTGATATATTAATATAGGGAGCAAGGGATTTATTGCAGTATTTATTATTCCCTACAATGAACTATAAGTTAGTAGTACTAAAACTTATACTATTGTATTACTATTCAATGGATAAATGTTGTCTGTAAAACTTTTCCTCGGATTTGATCTAAGCATATTAATTTGCCACTAGTTCACTAAACCTATTTCTACAGAGCTGCCCTCTGATTTTAACATAAAAGTGCTATACCGGGCTAAAAGAGAGAGCGAGACAATTCTTAATGGAGATCCGGAGCTGTGAACACAGTACCCGACATGGTCAGTATGTCTAAAGTCAGCGTGTCCCTTTCTAAAAGAGGCAACAAACGCGGGGACTGAGTGGTTTTATGCCGGCTAATATGTGGCCGATTCAGGATATGTCGAGACTTGCACACGTATTAGTATTCCTGCGATAATGTACTAGACTGTTAATTGCACTCATATTCAATATTAAATCAAATGAGGGGTTAAACTTAACTGAATGCCCCGCGAAAAAAATGCGGGTTATTTAATTATGGAAAATAATTATGGCTTTTAAGATGGAAAGCAATTTATATTACAATCCGAGTTACTAACTATTTTGTGTGAATGAAATGACGCATTTTGTCTTTAGCTACATTACTATTTAAACAGTTGAATTATTAACCACCTTAAATCCTTGTAAATTGCATAATATTCAGCTAACCACGCGAAATAGCGATAATTATAATTGAGTATTTTGATACAGTTCAAACCGTTTAAAATAATGCAAACGGAGAGCTCAAGATTGCCAAATGACACGCTCTAAACGTTTCATGCAGGTCGGTTATAAAATTCAAAACATTTAAATGGTTTTGAATTGCCACTATACCACACAACATCATCGTTTTTCATTATCAAAATCACCGTTTTTCATTACTGCGATTAAAAAAGATCCAATGTGAAATAACATACTCTCAAATGAAGTCCAGAGTCTCAAGCCTCGTGTTACGACTGTAACTAATTTGGAAAACTCATGGGATAAAATAACGTACGGCAGTAACTATAGTTATCTTGATCTAGTATTTTTGTTTCACACAATAGAGCATAAGTATTGTGGTTTATCCACTGGGCTTAGATTTTGTGTTTAAGCTACCAAATTTTATTATTATTTATTATTATATAATATAGTCCGTCTTTAGGCTGATGTAATCCATTGTTTGTACGTCCTGAAATGAACGTCCTCATGATAATATCTTGAAAATATCTTGATAATATCTTGAAAATATCTTGATAATATCTTGAAAACAGCCTGAATACCTGATGTCTTCTAACCGTGTGTCCTCCAGGAGTAACTGTATCCCATCCGTATCTAAAGCTCTGAGACAGCACTATAAAGTGCCCTATTTTCTGGGGAAGAGTGAGAGAACACGTGACGACTGGATGTTCATGGGATCTCCTGGTTACAAGGGGGCTCCGCTACATGTGAGTTAAAATAGGGGGGGGGGGGGGGGGGTTACAAGGGGGCTCCACTACATGTGAGTTTAAATAGGGGGGGGGGGGGGGGGTTACAAGGGGGCTCCGCTACATGTGAGTTTACATAGGGGGGGGGGGGGTTACAAGGGGGCTCCGCTACATGTGAGTTTACATAGGGGGGGGGGGTTACAAGGGGGCTCCGCTACATGTGAGTTTACATAGGGGGGGGGGGGGGGGCACAGTGGTCCGGGACCTAGTCATAGGATTTTAGGTCACCATCTTAGATTCCTTTTAGTCCAGGTTAACCTGTTAGAAAAAATAGATGCCGATGCAATGCAAAAAACCATAATTAATTTCACAAAAAGCTCTTTTTTTGACAGCGCGTCAAAATCGCGCGTTTTAGAAACCTGGTCAAAACTCTAATAAATTGCCCAAAATAGGTAAAAGTGAATTCTAAACTGTTTAATTGTGTTATCTCAGTTCTCTATAGGCTATATTAGACTCAATTCTATGCAGCAATCCTAATACACTGCAAAAAAAATTATTGTTCTATCTTATAAGGTTGATTTTTGACCAAGCTTAAAATTTTTATCGAATTTTTAGGAAAATTTTTAGGAAATTCGAGAAAAAATAGTTAAGATGCCATCATATGCCACAATATTCCTATAGCTTATCTGAAAGAGGAGACAAATCTCTAACAGATTCCAAAAGGAATAAGGTGCCAAATGGTGCCGACAGAAGTTACGATTTTATAAAAAACCTTGACGTCAGTAAAAATGTGTGAAAAATGAAAAATATTTTTTCTCAGTTTTGCCTTTTTTGGAGGAAAGGCATCGTTTTAGAGTCTTAAAATGTGTTTTAAAGTTATCTTTGGGTATGGTTATGCCTAAGAAGGACTTTTTTGGACCTATTTTCAACAACTGCCCGAAAGTGTTGGTAATTTTATCGAAATTTGGGTTCCGCCAGGGCAAAATGTGTCATATTTAGACCTTAAATCACAAAAATAATGATTTTTAAATGAATGAGGACATCAAGATTGATTTCAAAGTGTTTTACAGTCATTGTAAGGTCTGGCAACACTTATTTGAGTAATTTAAAGGCTTATTCTCAGAAAATATCAGCAATTTGGGGCTAAAATTACCTTATTTTCTTGTCGCGTTACTAAATTTTGCTCAAAAGAGCAGTGTTTTTGTCCCAAAAAATTCTAATTTTTATCAAAAACCATGTATAGAGGCATCAAATTAAAGCTCTTGATGACCTGTTCACATTAAAATCACAAAGAAGTAGTTTAGAATTGATATAAGTGATAAAATGGTCTAAAAATGGATTCAAAAAATTCTAAATTTCACCCAATTTCTGTCTAATCATGAACCTTTGAGAGCTCATAAAAAAATCATGCCACAATATTACACTGTAAATTTTTCTAGGATTACTCTAAATGTCCTATACTTACAGATAGATTAACTTATAGATGCTTACCAAAGTTAATTTACAACTTATTTTTGTAATTTGTCCTAAAAAATGGCCAAAAATGGTCAAAAAATGCAATTTTTGACAAAAAATCAGGTAAAATTAATATTTGAGGTCAAATATCCATTTAATTACTCTGGAAACCCTTTTAAACGTTATTTTGGGGCAAGATACCCCTAGAAAACATGATTTGTGGTATATCAGAATTAGTTATGGATAGTAAGCTTGATAACATTGAAGCATTATGGGTGAAGCTTAAGAATAGCAAGATCAATGTTTGCTGCTTCTATCGCTCTGGAAATTATTGCAGTGTTGATAACTTTATTGAATACATTCATTTTTGCATGAAAAAATTGAATGGGAAAAAGGTTATCTGGATTGGGGATATAAACATTGACCAGAATAATATCTCATCCACCCAGTACAAAAAATTAGATATGACCTTGAGATGTTACAATTTAGTTCAAACCATTCAAGGGATAACTAGAGTTGCTAAACGTGGAGACAATTTTACCCAGACTACTATTGATGTAATATTCACTAACTGTTATGCAGATTTTGTCCAATCTTCTGTTCTTGATGAACGTATAGGAGATCATCAAGCTATTATGTGTGAGATAGATTGTAAAGTACCTATAGCTCCTAAATTTGAGAAGGTTGAAATTAGAAATCATTGTAAACGTAATGTTAAACAATTCTTAGACTATCTAGATACCTGTTCTGATTACAGTCCACTATTGGAAAGTACAGATGTTGAAGCTATCACTGCTGGCCTTTGTCATCATATTGAACAGGCATATGCAACCTTCTTCCCTTGCAAGACCATAGAAAGGCATGAAAAGTTCATACATAAACCTTCTACTGAACTTTTAAATGCCATTAATCATACACATTTTCTTCTAAAGAAATTCCGTAAAAAGAAGGATAAGAGAGACAATGGAAATTGCAATGAATGTGGTACATGTAGCAAATGTATAAAGTGTAATGAGGCCTGGGATTGCTACAAGATTCAGAGAAATATTAGAAATAAATTAGCTAAAACCTGCAAAAAGGCTAATGTAATCGATGATCTACAAGTTAAAAGTGCCAAGAATGATCTTAAAGGGATATGGAAAACTATCAAACTGGCATCAAATATGACCCCTGGTACAACTAATTGTCAAACTATCAATGAGAATGATCCTGAGCTATTTAACTTTCATTTCGCAAATGTTGGATCAAGATTACAAAATCAGGCCCCCAATATTGAAAGAGTTAGTTTTGCTGATTTTTTGCCTCCTAGAACTTCTAATATCTCATTTGATAGATTCCAAGAAATAAATGAAACTGATGTCCTAATGTGTGTCGAGGCGCTCGGGAATGACAGGGCCTCATGTGACGGTGTGCCTCTATTTTTACTTAAGCAGGCTGTACCACACGTAGCTGGGCCACTGACCCACGTTGTCAATCTGAGCCTTAATGCAGGTGTTGTGCCAACCCTTTGTAAAAAAGCTAGAGTGACTCCCATCCATAAGGCAGGAGTGAGAGATGATCCTAATAATTACAGGCCAATATCCATCCTTCCGCTTGTAGGAGAGCTTATAGAGTACTTTGTCGGCAAGCGACTCACTGGTTGCATGGAGGAGAACAAGCTTTTCGTCCGGCATCAATATGGCTTTCGGAAAAATCACTCCACAACTTATTTGATGTACGATCTGATGGACGAGATATGTGTGAGTAAATCTAAGTCTTATAAACCAGGAATCATCTTTCTTGATCTTAAGAGGGCCTTTGACACAGTAAATCATGAAATATTGCTTAAAAAATTGGCATGTTGTGGAATTGGTGGCGTTGCTTTGGCCTGGTTTAAGAACTTCTTGTCTTGTAGATGTCAGTGCACTGGGATCGGTGGCAAACTAGGTTCATTTTTAGAAGTTCTGAGTGGTGTACCACAGGGAAGCATCATTGGGCCTATATTATTTAGTATCTTCATAAATGACATCATTTATGCCTGTGACCTATCTGAGCCCTTTCTGTTTGCAGATGGTGGTGCGCTCTTCTTTGATCAAACCTGCAGAAGCACATTTGTAGGCATGAAGGTGGAGCTTATGACAGTCTTTGGGTGGCTCAGTGTAAATAAATTATCACTCAATGAAAAGAAGACTGAATTCCTGTTGTTTGATTCTGTTGATCAACGTGATGAATTAACCATTGAATGTAATGAGGTAACTTTCACAGTCAAGGAGTGCAAAGAGACGGAATGTCTTGGCCTCATTCTAGATAGTAGATTAAACTTCAAAAGCCATGTAGATTATATTGTTAGGAAGGTCATGGAGAGAATTGGTGCCATGTATAGAAGTAAAGCACTGCTACCCATTAAATATAGGAAAATGTTTGCCAATGCACTCATGTTGCCACAGTTCGATTGTTTGGGCACAGTCTATTGTAGAGCTGGCAAGACAAAACTTGCTGAACTTGACACTCTGTACAAAAGGGTAGCCAAAATGGCTCTCAGCGTTCCACAAGCAGAGAGCAGCCTTAATGTTTATAGAGACATGAGATGGTTACCACTCCGTCTTAGACGACAACTCCATCTGTCAAGTTGTATGTTTAGAATCATCCGTGACAATTGTCCTGCAGACTTTATGAACAGATTTAGTTACATATCAGGAGGTAGTAGGAGCGGCGAAAGCTGCAACCTGTGTGTTAATAGATCAACATCACATAAAAACTTTCAATACTTGGGGGCAAAATGTTGGAATAATGTTCCAACAGATCTACGAAGTCTGCCCGATGTTGAAGGCTTTAGTGATTCGTGTGGGAAACAGCTGCTCTCATCTATAACAACAGACCCTAATTGTGCCGTCGGCAGTTCATATGACAAATTTTACACTGCAATCATAGTCGACGGTAACTGGGTATCTTCTAATTCTTTTAAATCTGAGGCATATATAAGTGATGTATCGGGAGGGTTTTCCCTTTTTTACCACCTTACCATTTTGATTGGTTTTGCGCATGGCTGGCGTGTTTTAGCTGGAGAGAGGGTTCGCACAGTGGTGGTTTTATAAACCACTTTTAATTTATTGACCTATTATACCTAGTGGTAGTTTTATAGACCACATTTAATTTATTTACTTATTATACTTAGTATTTATTTTTGGTGACTGTATCACCCAGTTTTAACATTTGATAATTGTACAGTTTATTGACGACACATTGACTGAATGTTATTTTATTCTAATTTATATTCTAGATATTTTATTTATTTTTCAACAGACGACAACTTCCTGTTTTTTCTTCTATATTAGTTACTCATATCTCTTTTACAGACTTTTTTACAAGGACATTGACAGATGATACTCACATTAGGCATTCTTTATTGCATCTAAATTATTTCACTTGCATTAGGTTTAGAAATTTATTCTCTGGTTAACAGATTTCAAATGTTTAATTAATTTGTAGTATGACAGTAAGGTATATAAGAAGTTATTTAATTTTGCTTGGGCTATTATATTGACTATTGAGGTTTAATGATGATATGGAATTTGAATTCTATATAAATTTACACTATGTGGTTGGGGCATTTTGCATAGTAAATATGGTTACTACTCCTATATATCATATTATTTGATTGGTATTCGATTTCTGATTATTTCTCTAGGAATATGATTATTATATCTCAATTTGGCTTTAGGTAGGGTGCCCCGCTAAAAGAACTGGATTCTTCCAGGAAGCATCCCGTGCACAGACCTTGGTCTACATATATATTAAATTATTAACCATTCATTCTGTATGTGCACGAAAATTTATTTCAATCAATATCATACCCCTAAGTCATGCCTATGTCTACCTCGCATGGGCGCCCGGACCACTGTGGGGGGGGGGTTAAGGGGGCAGGGGGGTCTTCATGGAAATTTTCTCAAAATCGACTTTTTAGTTGTTTCTGATAGATGGGAGTGATATCTATCAGATGCTTTTAATCCGATAGAAAAATATTGCTCCTAGCAGAAATTATCGCCGGTAGAAGATCAGCGCTTGTGTGTAACTGTATTGCGCGAGCGATTTTTGATCGCGTGCCCTGAAAATCGAGTCTAAAAATCTATATCCTCTTACATTTTTGAGCAATTACCCTCAAACTTTCAGGATATGTTCTAGGGATCATTTAGAAGAGATTGTCCAGGCAAAATTTCGAGATAGGCCTTTAAACATTTTTTATTCGATTTTGAAAATCTTGGACCTGGTTTTTTGACAAGATTTTTAAAATCGAATAAAAAATGTTTAAAGGCCTATCTCAAAATTTTGCCTGGAGAATCCCTTCTAAATGATCCCTAGAACATATCCTGAAAGTTTGAGGGTGATTGCTTAAAAATGTAGGAGAAGATAGATTTTTAGACTCGATTTTCAGGGCACGTTATCAAAAATCACTCGCGCAATACAATTACACACAAGCGCTGACCTTTTACCGGCGATAATCTCGGCTAGGAACAATATTTTTCTATCAGATTAAAAGCATCTGATAGATATCACTCCCCTCTATCAGAAACAACTGAAAAGTTGATTTTGAGTAAATTTCCATGAAGACCCCCCCCCCCTGCCCCCTTAAAAGAGGGCTCCACTACATGTGAGATTAAATAGGAGGGGGGGTTACAAGGGGCTCCAGATCCAGCCTCCACTGCTCGTGACTTTAAGTAACTTTGAAGAAGGTACAATATATTCATTCGCGGTCTTTATGATGTGGAATTAGTTTTAAACTGAGTAGATAGTGAAACTGAAAATGTTTTCTAGGGACAACTTTTCCACAGTTCCACAGATGATATATCTTAATTCTCTCTCTCTCTCTCTCCAGATAGATTGGGTGGAGTACAACTCCTGGCAAGCTCAGATAAGGGGACGGAAGAAGTGGACCTTCGAGCCGCCTCCTGAATGTTGGTACCAGTGTCCACACACTCACAACGTAGTAGTGGAACCTGGTAACATTTGTAAGTCACGTGGTTATATTTGTAAGTCACGTGCCTATTTTGCGATAGTGGAACCTGGTAACATTTGTAAGTCACGTGGTTATATTTGTAAGTCACGTGCCTATTTTGCGATAGTGGAGCCTGGTAACATTTGTAAGTCAAGTGGTTATATATTTGTAAGTCACGTGCCTATTTTGCGATAATGGAGCCTGGTAACGTTTGTAAGTCAAGTGGTTATATTTGTAAGTCACGTGCCTATTTTGCGATAATGGAGCCTGGTAACATTTGTAAGTCTCGTGGTTATATTTGTAAGTCACGTGGTTATATTTGTAAGTCACGTGCCTATTTTGCGATAGTGGAACCTGGTAACATTTGTAAGTCACGTGGTTATATTTGTTAGTCACTTGCCTATGTTGCAATAGTGGAGCCTGGTAAAATTTGTAAGTCAAGTGGTTGTATTTGTAAGTCACGTGGTTGTATTTGTAAGTCACGTGCCTATTTTGCGATAGTGGAGCCTGGTAACATTTGTAAGTCACGTGTTTATCATTTGAAAATCACGTGTTTATCTTGCATTCTTACGTCTCAAGATTTTTGGTGCATACTACTACCATGTACGCCGTACGGTTCCCGAGTGTAAAGTTGATAGATTTTATATTAAGTTATTGTTCCTTAATCTCAAACTTAATCGAATCTAATACCTAATGTCGCGGTTTCTATCTGAAGATGACAAACAATTGTGTCACGGTAAAGCAACCTTACTAATTTACGATATGATAGATCATGCTTGATGTTTCTACTTTCTTAGGCTATAATTTGAACTTTAATCAACTCGACTACGGGCCAGTATTGTTAAATAGCACTGCACAGTGGGAGCTGAGGCTATAGGGAGTTAAGAAGAACACCTTTTTACACTGCATTCAATGTGACACGTGCTCTTTAAAACGAAACATTATGTTTATGGTGTAACTTGGAATGCAACGAATTACGCAACGCCGAGGCAGAACAGTCTCAAATAAACCATATTTAACTGGATTTTTCAAGTGCCATTTGTCAAGTAATGACGAAAATTTGTCCTTGGCAACTATTTCAATTACTTTCCTCTCTTAATTCAATTTCTGATGTACCTGTTGTAGACGAGGTATTGGATTTACGGTATTACTTTGAATTCAACGAATTGCGCAACGCCGAGCCAGAACAGCCTCTATTAAATTAAACGAAATAGTACAGCATATTTCGAATTCCAGTTGGCGTATTCGGTCCGTTAGGGATTCAGCCTCCTTACCCTATTTGACATCAAGTAGGTTAAGATATAAATTTGTCGTGGTAAACTATCTCAATTAATTTTTCGCTCTTAAGTTCTTCAAACCGTATGTACCAGATTATAGCTTTATAGCCGCTATTATTTTACACCTGTTAAATTAATTGTAGAATGTTCTATATATTGTACTATTGTAGAATGTTCTTTATGTTGTAGAATGGTCCGTAATACAAGTTGAACTGGTAATTACGAGGACAAATGAACACCACCTGCCTCCCTCCGTGCTCCCTCCGTGCTCCCTCCGTGCTCCCTCCGTGCCTTTATTCCAACATTCTGTACTCTTCTAGATGATCAGCTAATAGAGAATATGCTAGATTGAATGTGAGATAATAGAGAGAGAGTAATACGTTTCAAATGTGAGTAGCAGCAGGGCGGACTGCTGGGCTAATCTAAGTAGCCCCCCTAATTTACCTGCAATTTTAAGATCACGTAGCTGTTCCCTTCCACACGTGTATAATTGAGACATTAGGGTCTTGATTACTGAGATTATTGTTCTGTTCTGATTAACTGTCAATTAAATGATTAATGACCATTATAAGAATAGGAAGGTGACTTTGTTACGACGTCACAATTTTGGAGGGTACTTTATTGGCCCTGAGTATGTTTCCTTTTATCATTAGCTGAATTACTTGACTTTTGGTGGTTTCAGAGTTTCAGTATTGATGCAATGTCTCCACCTTATCTGCCATGTGTCCTCTAATGATTATCATAATTATATAATTTGGAGCTTCATCATGAGCTCCTTAGATTCCAACAAAGTGGTCTTGTAATTACAAGTTATAAATATAGCTCTGTGGTATCTGCACTGTGGTAAGTCTGTGGTAAGTCTGTGGTAAGTCTACGTCTGTGATAGCTCTGTAATATTTGATACTATTCAGGGCTGAGGGCACCTATCTACCTATTGAACCTTTCAGTCTAGTTAAAATGCTCCGTGACAAAATGGTAACCATGGACTAAACTAGCCCCTCACATTAGCCTCACTGTTTACTGTAATATAACATGTCCTAATATTGATACTCTAGTCATGCATACCACTGAAATAGCATGTATACCACTGTCCTCGGAAATATAGCAACATTTCTCCTAAAAGCTGCGTGATAGTCTAGTCTGCAAAATAGTGAGTTTAAGAGACAATGTTTAAAGAAGACATTGTAGGGTCGGGACTAAAGTCAGGTCGGATAAACCAGACGTAAAAGTGAAATAATGGCTCCTCCCTCATTAATGTAATCTCCGTAGACGTAACATGTTTAGTTAATTATGTTCACAAGGCTGGGCCCTTTGACAACGTTTACCGACCCAACGCTGTTGATATACACTATTGCAGCCGAACATCTATTCGGCTTTATTGGACCGCCCATCATTAACGTAATTTTAACAAGTGAGATGTTTTTGACGTTTCAATTGAGATGGTCAGAATAATGCAGCTGACCAGTGAAAGTATTGCAAATTAGTCAAGAAATTTTCGAACAAATCTCACTTACCATTGTGATTGAAGCTTTGATATGAATAACTTGAACTGAAAGGAAGAGTGTGGACATTTAGAGTCCGCCCAACCCCACTTAGCCCTTACCAATAATACCGCCAAATGTTAGAACACTGAAATCAAAATAATAACTTCAAGACAACATGTCTCATCAAGGATGGAAATTCGTTTGTCTAACTTTTACGCAGTCGAGTATAACTGATACCCACGAGTGTAACTGATACACACGAGTGTAACTGATACCCACGAGTGTAACTGATACCCACGAGTGTAATTGATACCCACGAGTTTAACTAATCGTTATAGTCCACCTTGTTAATGATTATCATTATCTTATGAAGTATAGATAAAACGACAATTTAAGAAATATACTCAATGTACTTGATACGTGATGTGAATAATTTAAAATGTATATTTCAGTTGTGTTTGACAGCAACCGCTGGTTTCACTCAACAGAAGTGATGGAAGGAGAATACAGTTTAACCATAGGAGCTGAGTACGACTAGTTGATTAATTAACGATTAATTAAAAATTGATTAGTTAAATTATTGACAATTTGTTCATTACTAACCTTTATTTTATGCGATCCTAGAAATTCGTTCATAATTTTCTTATCAGCATGATTATCATGACTATTGATCGATGATTTCTTCACCTTATTCCTGAAAAATATGTTCGTGAATACGCTTTTGATTTGCTTTTTGCTAATTGCTGATTATAATGGAGACTCCAACCAAGACCTTAAACACACATATTAAATTATTTTGTTCCATAACGAAATGATTTAAACTATCATGACATAATGAGCTACATGCCTGCTACTTGCTGGAAGGTAATACCATATATGGCCTATATTACTAATGGATTATGATCGGTATTATTATATAGTGATGGAGATTATATTACTATACTGGCGAATACAGATTTAAAAGTTTATGAATTGGTTATTTGAAGATTTTTTCCCGATCCATGACTCAAAGTGCCGAAGGCACAAAAGAGTCAAGGACAAGGGTTAGCGATCGAGGTTTTTTTTTGATATGGTAGCTTTGCGACCGTGCGACCGTACGTGCGTGCGTGCCTGCCCTCGCGCACTGTTATCGCCCACGTGACTACCTGCGCAAAGTTATTTTGCGCACAAATCTGAATTAAATAATTGTTGGCGCGCGGCGCTGAACTGACCAAGTACATTATTAATTTGACAATGTACATATCCCACTAGGCACTAGTTGATAGCATACTATTATTATTTTGAGTTACTATTACTATTTTGCACAGATCCGTGTCACTGTCGGGTGTCAGGTTGCATAAACAATAAGCATATATATACACGATTTTCAAATTCAATATGGAATTATATTAACTTGGTGGCGCTCGGCCTGTCACTCCGCTATATCTGCATGCTTATAAACAGTTAAAACTGGGATCTCCAGGTTGTATGGAATATGATAAAATACGCCATCACGGATCGGGAAATTGAGCGGCCATCCACAAAAAAAGCGGCCGCATTTCTTGTTAACTTAAGATTTCAACAACAAGTTACAAGATATAGCTGAAGGTTAATTAAAATCTGCAGAAGATATTGATTCTAACATTCTTTATTATTACAATTTAATTCTACTATTTTGATGTATCATATTATTGTAATATTTAGATATCATTACTCTTATGATACCTTAGACAAAATTTCAATGTTTTTGGTGGTTAAATAACAGTTCCGGGGGGGGGGGGGGGGGGGGGGGCATATGTTAACAATTCATATGTTAACAATTCAATGTTGATTGGGTGTGGCCAAAATTTACGACGGAATCCTCGAATAAGTAGTTGTATAGTTGTATACCATCTGCAAATTTACAGATCTCAAATATGAAAAATGGTTATGTTATAAGCCCCAACGTATATCTGTATATATACTGACTTTTGGCCCACCCCTGGCGCTGTTCAGTGTACATTTATATTAAATGTACTGAGTCAGAAGTCTAGAATGGTCCAGATCTGGCATTTGTTATATATGATAATGCGAACAGTCCCTCATTGGTTTTGGCGGGTTACTAAGGAACCTGAGGAAAACTAAGTTCAGCAAGACCCAATGTAACAGCCAAGGTAACAATGTTCGTACACCCGGGTTTGATACACGGCGTGATATAAAGAGGGTAGCATTATTATAAACTCTGAAGAAAGCTCGTAAGAAATCCGCAATCAGCTTTATTTACTTCCTTTATTAAGGCCAATTTTCATGTTACCTCAAATCCTGGCGGCGACCTCCAACTGTTTCGTATACGATATAAGCCGCGCTGCACGTGTCAAAGCCAAATCATCCACATTTTTATATGAACATTTTAATATTCCTGGTCACGTCTTCTCAGATGCTTCCATACAGATTGTAGATTATGTTGATTCTGACATGTCCACCGATGTCAAAAATGATTTACTTCTCCTGGAGGATTACTGGATAGAGAAGCTTGGGACAGCATTCCCTCTTGGTCTTAATGACAAGAAGAAAGGAACGGGCAACATCTCCCAAGATCGGGTTATGAATTATTTTAGTGGACAGATTGCTCGATACAAACGTGGCAGAGGGAATGGAAAGAAGAAAGTTCAGCCTAAGAAGTCTCTGGATACCATAGAGTCTGATATTAACAGGCTGAAAGATAACATCTCTTCAGAACATTCCATATACAAAACATTAAAATGCTATAGCTTATCAGATTTAGACACTCTCTACTCTTTGAGTCAAAATAATTCAGGATTGATTTACAACGTATGTTCCTCTTTCTGTTCAACATTTTCCCCCAAATACCATCAGAACAAATCTGAATCCAGTAATAGAGAATTTATAATTGTTCCATTTAATTGCAAATTCATTGATAATCTTAACCTAAAATCTATTTTCTCTGACACTTCAGTCATTGATTTGCTTCCCATTTTGATTCAGTCTTTTACACCATTACAGATTTATTATGAGTATAATGATCCTATAAGTCTTTCTATTTGTAACTATGCTTCATTCTTAAAGAAACTTTCTATTTCTGATATTAAATCTATTTTAGGTAGTCCATGCGATTGTCACTCCTCCCCTTTCAATTATCCTCCTCATGGACATGTAGTTACTGGTAATTTAGATATTGTTGATAATGTTGAACTTAGGGAAGTACTTTCCTACGGTTGTAAATACAGGATTCCCACATTTAAATCTCCAGATGAGATATATATGTCAGTTACCGAAGCTGTCGATAAATTTATAAAATCAAAAAGTAGAAAATACTGTCAAAAAGAAGTAAAGTTCAGCGATTGGAAGGAAAAAGTGTTATCAATAGTTTCCAATCGTATTGAATATTACAAGAAAAACTTTCCTGAAACATTTGAAATAAAAGAAAACACACTGGAAAAAGATGATGTTAAAAGAAGTCTTAAATTGCTGAAAAGTAAATACATTATTTGTAGTATCGACAAAGCTTCTGGTAATTTTTCATTTATTTGTAAAAAGTTTTATGTAAAAACTCTTGTCAATGAAATGGGTTTTGATCCTAATACTCTAGAATGTATAGGTAATGATCATATAAACCCTGTAGCGAAAACGAGACTCATTATGTCAATAAAATATCTGAGAGTCTAAAGGAGAGATTTAATGTACAAGTTGAAGATAAAAACTTGCGACTAGCACGCATCTTCTGGAACCCTAAGCTTCATAAGAACCCTTACAAGGCGAGGTTCATTGCAGGTGCCCGTTTTTGCGTTACGAAACAACTTAACGTCCAAGTTAACTGTTGTCTGAAACTTTTGAGGAAATACTTCAAGAAATACTGCGAGGCAATCTACAACAACAGCGGTATAAACATGTTTTGGAGCATAGATTCCTCAAGTGAATTCCTTGAAGCTATTAAAAATAGCGATGTTTATAATATACAAGTATATGATTTTACTACTCTTTATACCAGATTAGACTTGATTGAAGTAGAGAATATGATTAATGAAGTTGTTGATTTAATATTTTCAGACCGTAATAGATATATTTGTATTTCTAAAAGAGACAGTAATACATGTTTCTTTTCCAATAAAACCTATAATTCTCATGCCTGCTTTAGTCAAGATGACCTAAAAGAGGCTGTTAAATTTATTATTTATAACACTTATGTCGTCTTCGGTGGGATTGTATTCATACAAACCAAGGGTATTCCTATGGGTGGAAATTCAAGTTCCCCTATAGCTGATCTCACTGTTGGCAAAAAGGAATTTAATTATATGAAACGTTTACTTCAGGAAAAGAAAATGGGATTAGCAAAGATATTATCCAATAATAAACGATATGTTGACGATTTATCTATTATTAACTACCTTTACTTTCATAAATTGATTAAAGATATTTATCCTAATTCATTGGAGATGGAGCGAGCTGGTTCCAATAATAAAATCATTAACTACCTTGATTTAAATATTAATATTTCCACAGAAGGACTAGAAATATCAGTGTATAACAAAACTGATGATTTTAATTTTCATGTTGTATCCCTTACATTTCCTCACAGTAACATCCCAACCGAGGTTGGCTACAACGTTTTTTCAAGTCAAGTTCTTAGATATGGTAATGTTTGCACTAGATTGGATATCTTTACCTCCCATCTTCACAAAATATTCAAAATTCTAATTGATAGAGGATATAGCCGTGATAGACTGATTAAAGGCATTAAACGTTGTCTGAGGAAATATGATAACGTTTTCAGGAAGTTCGGTATTCTAGATGACCGTAACATTATTAAAGAACTCCCCTGATATCTTTTGATTTATAGAAACACGGGTACTAACTCTGCTAAACTGAACAAATTCTGAAACTTAGGTGAATAAGTGTACAACGTGCTAAACCGAAGTTCAGACTGACCAGTGAAAATGGGCGAGCGTACCAAGTGTCATTTTAATTAGAAGTTTTAGTCAGTGATTTATTATTGAAGCTTGTAATTACAATATCTAATACTCCTATAAATACTTTAATTAATTGTTTGTCCCGTTATTCTTTTTCCTTCCTCTTTTCCTTGTCATCCCCTTTAGTTTTAAGATTCTTGCTATAAATGGCTACAGCTAACACTATTAATGCTAAGTACCAAACAACAAGTGGGAGGTGGATCGTTGGTACCATTAAATCGATTTAACACCGCAATTCCAGTCGCAAGCCTGGGACCACTACTAGCATAGTCACAACATCTACAAAGCTGCCATATAGCCTGACTGACAATTTTCTCGACTGACTGACAATGTTTCTTCTTTTTCCCCATTTAGAATACAAAGATTAGTACATTTTAGCTTATGATTAATATTATATTTTTACCTATAGTTTACCTAGATTACGTCCGTATCATGGTATCAAGTACTGGTGGTCGGTTCTTCCGCCCCGTTGGATACATAATTGATAGCTTTTCTTGATATTGCTCTATAATTACATTTATATCTCTCCCGGCCATTGGTTCCGAGATTTGGTTGATCTTTGTTTTCTTGGGCGCCCTCCTTGAAGTCTTGTTGTTGTACATTCATCTCCTGATTTATCCTGTATTTACCTGTTTATTTCATTTTCTGGCGTGAGCTGTCCGCCATGCTACGGTACGAGAAACAGCGGCAGTGCAAGATCCGGTTCTAAGAGATTTTTATGGTCGCGAAGAATCTCGCCAGGCTACACTGCGTCGGTGGGAGAACTATTTAGGTTCATGACATCTAACGCCCGCCCAATCATGGCAGCCCCATGACAATAGGTTG